AGAGTTAATAGTGATACTCAAAATGAGGTCATCCTCTCAGGAAATTCAGTAGGCAATAATGTAGTTATGATTTTTGTTTTCCCGTGTTTTTCTTCCCCCTGCTCTCTGATGGCTCCTTTCTGAATCGTTTCAGAGGCTAATGTCACAATTGCTCTGAACCCAATTAGGAAGGTAAGGGAATAAATAATATCCTATTTTTTAGCCTTTTATTTGATATCTTTGAATTTTTGATACCTGATTTTTAAATGAACTCTCCAAAGAAACCTGCTTATATTACTAAGTATGCCTGCCTGGACTTAAGCCTCTTCACAGTTAGTACAATATGTATTCACATTCGTTATAGGAGATGGGTAGGGGAGAGGAGTGAACTATTTTATTTTTTGTTTTTGTCCTCACTGTTTTAAAAAAATTATTTAAAAACCATCAACTTAGCATTAACCGTCATGGCATGCTTCTCCACCTGTGTAGGCATGAAATGAAGCTTTCCACTGTCTTCTTCCACCAAACAATTTTGTGTTTTCCAGGCCAGTCTCAAGAAATCATCATTTATAAAATAAACTGTGATAAAAGAAAATGTGACTTTAAAAAGATCTTATAGGTTTTATTTCCAGTTCTCCTTTATTTTTTAAATGGAGTCATCTCCTATATTTATTACTATTTTGAAAATAATACTTCATAATGTGTTGACGGTATTAGCAATCTTAGAGGAGGATGGGAAGGAAATGAACATTTGTTGAGTACCTATTTTTTTTCTGGGAGTCATACTTTATAGAAACTATCTTGCTAAATCCTCAATACAGCCCTGGAGAGGTATTAGTATATCAATTTTTGGAACAGAAAATCAAGGCTCAGTGACTTGCTACAAGTCTCATGGCAGGTGGTAGAAGAGCTGAGAGTCCCCCTAGCATTGGGCAATGCAACATACATGCATTGTATATGTATTTCTGGAAAATACAATTTTTTTGCATGGCACTTGAAAATTCTACTTCTTATACTGACATACTTTGAATTTACTGTGTCACCACAGGTTTTGAGTTGAGACCATCAGAGATAATCACAGCATCAGGGAGGTTTTAAATTTATTTTAAACTAGAGGCCTGATGCACAAAATTCGTGCCAGAGTAGGCCTTCCTTTCCCCAGCTGCCAGCATCGGCTTCCCTCTGTCACCTGGGACCCGGGCTTCCCTCCAGCCACCAGCAGGCACCCAGGACCTGGGCTTCCCTCACAGCCCTGGCTTCGTCTGGAAGGTCATCAGGAAGGATGTCTGGTCTAATTAGCATATTATGCTTTTATTATTATAGATTAGTAGCAGCATATGTTTGTCAGCATGTTAGCATCATATTCTTGTACCCAGATTATAGCAGGGTTATCACTGATCTGCATTTATATTTACTTAAAGGCAAATATTCTTGCTGTTCTGGGTCAAAAATATTTTTTAAGTGTACTTGAGTTCTCATGTGAAATACTTAAAGCTTTTTTTAGGTTAAGCTTATTTGTAAATGGAAAAGGCATGGAGACTGTGACTCCATTCTGCCCTCTAAAGCTATGCCAACATGTCTCAGTTAGAGGTAATGTGAGTTAAAATTAATGTTCTCTTACATAGAGTTATCGCAACTCAGGGCAAAACTAGCACTGAATATAATCCGTTAATATATATATCTACACTAATAAAAGAGAAACATGGTAATTAGCGTACGACCGCTACCCTTCCCATTGGCTAATCAGCATATCCTTATGCAAATTAACTGTCAGCCAAGATGGCGGCCGGCAGCCAGGCACTGAAGCGAGCA